CCGGTTTTCTACTAGTGATATTTTTCGCCCGAAGCGACATTTTACTATTGTTTCTGAGCTCTCAATTGCAACCATCTGGAACAAATTGCTCAAATACAAAGGAATAAAGTCGCTTCGCGCGAAAAATATCGCGAGTGGAAACCGGCTTTTATGTCGAAGTCATGCAAGGTCGCTGGTGTAAAGTAAACTATAGAAATATGCTCATTTTGTTCGAATTTGTTCAGTTTAAGCACCAGTTTGTCCAGTTTAGCCAAAAACAAAAAGCCTTAATCGTAATCTGTACCATCGTTTTACGATCATAAAGTATATAAAAGGGAACAAGGGGGAATTTCGACCAATCACCAACTTTGTTTACATTTTCCGTAATCCAAACAGAATGCATAAATTTTGATAAAAAGTGCAATATATACCATTTTACATGAAGTATTAAAAATTTTGCTATTCTGATTGGCTTTGCCGATTCGATATGGCGATTAGTTTAAAACGAAATTCCTCTTGTTTATTTAGGGAAGCACTAATAACATATAAATGTATGAACGGTTTGGCACCATCTTATATATCGAAGCTTTTTATAAAAAGAAATGAAATACACGACCTGAATATACAAGAAACAGCAAAACGCTATACATATATGTTCCACAACATAAAACAACTTCAGGGGAAAGAACTCTTCACTATAGAGCGGTGAAGCCATGGAATGACTTAGGTGAAGATTTTAAAAGGTTATCTTGGAAAAAAAACAGCTGAAAACTGAGCTAAAACAGCTGATGTTCAGCAGTTTTTAAAGTGAGCCATGTAATTATATTTCCGATCTTCGACTACACGATTTTAAATAATACTAGAAATACATTGCATGCAAAGTCCCCTCGCCTGAAGCAATAAACATATATTTCCATCACTGAAATTCTATAATACTCGTTTCTGCTGAATGATCGAATTCGTAAAGTAAAATGCTATATCTTGGTACAATTATAAAGTCGACTCTTGAGCTATCAAATTCGACTATAATCATAATTGTGCTACGAATAGTTTTAAATACTGCAATTTTTAGCGAAATTTCAATTACTTTTTAAACAGATTCATCTTTAAAAATAAATACCTTCCGAATCAAAATCATTTCAACAAAATTGACGAATAAATTCAAAGAGGTGTCATACATTTGTTGATAAAACCACATATTAAACTTACAAAATACTTGCATGCTTTAAAATACAAAATCTACCCATTTACCTGTTCAAAAATACTTTAAAAATGCTTCAAAATCGTAGTTTTTTTACCATCCATTTGAATGAAAGTTTTTCTATCGGAAGGCATCTTTCACATTATATTTTATTCAATTTTACGTTTATTTTTAAGACCATCCAAATGAAAAATATTATTTAAAAAAAGTTTTATAATTCAAAATATCAGTTATGCTGACGTAATCCACGTTTGTAAACGTTTGCTAGTTACCAGTTTTAACTCGTCTTAAACCCACGTATGCGCATAACTTACAAAAACGCCCAACGTCCATAACATAATGGCGGACAACTTTCATTTCCAATTTGCATTCCCGGGCGGAATTAGTACCCTCGCTCGGTGCTTCGCACCGGCTCGGGGATTACAATATAGCAGAAATAGTAATATATAGTAATATAATAATAGTAGTCAAATAGACCATAACCAGACACAGTACTAAAATGCGGTGCCCGCAATGCTTGTCTAGAAATAAAACGTCCGCTCATTTCTAACGACATCACCAACTTACATTCTCCTGTTGGCCGCAGCCTGGTTGGTTGGTACATTAAGGTCAAAATTGCGCCGTTTTAAAATCTTCAGAAAATATTTAGGCTAAAAATACTATCTAAGAATACTATCAAAATGAAGAGAAACGTGAGACGAATAAACTGGCGTAGAGCCGGAAACTAGAAAAGCAACGATACAGAAGTCAAGGATTAAGCGTACTGCATTTTTAATTTGTTTAATAATTTTGAGCGATTTGTCATAAAGTTCGCTTATTGAAACTATACTTTAAAACCTTCGAAATAGAATATATTTGGCTCAAAGTACTATAAAATAAATCGCAATGTAAGACCGATCCACTTATTTAAGGACGAAAATTAAAAGAGAAAACCAACGATATGAAAGATGTCAAAGACCAAACTTACTATTACTAGTAAAGTATAGCATAGTAATTTTGAGCGATTCGTCAACAATTCAATTTCGTTTGTCTTTCAAACGTCATAAATCGCTGCGAATACTCTTGTTCAGTAATATATTTAAGACCTGTAAGTATAATTTCTTACGCTGAATCGAATGGTGGTATTTTTGTCCTTCTTGGGTGCATAAAAGCAGAGATACACGCAATTATCAGAGTTTGAGATTGAAATTGAAAAAAGAACGTTCCTTTAAAAAAGGAATTTGCCAAACGTACAACAAGATTAATAGTAATAATTAGGAAAAAATTCCAAGCATTCCAAGTATGTGCAAGGAATTTTTACTTGGCGATTAAGGAAACGTATTGATGCGAACAAACAAACTCACAGGCAGAATATAATGCGGTGCCAAACTTGGCGCGGGCACCGCAATTACTCCGGCGTGAGCGACGGAGTTGAAAATTCGCCAATGTTTTGTTTTTTTGTTGTTGTTTTTTTTTACTATTTCTCATCGTCGCAAGTGTGTTTTGGCGCGAAATATGGAGTATTTAAAAAGTGTATGTGACCGTATTTATCTACGTCACAGTTTTGTCTCCCAGAAGTTGTGGTGCACAGCTCGAAATATCTGACTAATTTACCAATGCACGATTTAATTTCGCTTGCATGATACGGCAATTGCTCCAAGAGCCAAGAGGAACAAATAAACCGTTCTTTTGATGCTGTTCGATTAAGTTTAGATTTAATTGCGGTAAGAATATATTTAATGCTTGTAGATTCTGGTCCTATTTTAATAATATCGCTGCTATTTTGCCGTGGTCAACAAAATGTGGTTCGTTTACGGGTGCGTTGACACGTCGTAGTTTGCACAGGATTGAAGATTTAATCTAGCTAGCTATATATAAAGCGCGAATTCCAAAGTGTATACTTGTCAAAATTCCGGTTGCTTAGTAAAAGAAACCTAAAATAATTTAGTTTCAACTTCAAGTAATTGGTTGGCACAGCTGATCTGATAATGGAATATAAGTATATACTATGTACACACATTGTAGATGTACTTTATCGTATATATTATAATGTCTGCTCTTTAATAAGAAGATTATCATTTGCGGAATCATATGTCAATGCAACAGACAGACGTTTTACACAATATTTTCCGTCAATTTCAGATTACTTTTTTGCGCCGAGTTGCGAAGTACGCTAGGAAATTGGGAACTACGTTTCGAATTACGGAAATACGTAGCCAACTTTCGTACCTACTTTCGTAGGTATTTCTAGCGAACTTTGTAGGGGAAGCCGTGACGGTACGTTTGTATACAATACAACGTCATTTTCAATTAACTGCTTTTGTATTTCTTTAGCAGACGTACTGGGTTTTTTACTTTTACAGTACTCAGAATAGAAGATAACATCGTCAGTCCTCGCTGATCGTGATCGATTTCCGCCAACTCCTGGTTCAGCGCGCCCGGTTTCTAAATATCGATCCACAATATTTGAAACCGTCTCGCGATTTATATTCAACTGTTGGGCTATTTCAAAAAACCGGACCCGCTTAACCACTTCTCAACAATTATATCTCGAACGTTTTTATCTACAGCTCTTCCTTGTGTAACGAAGTAGTTTCGTTCCATATTTTATTACACTCAACGTACTTCGTTATGATTTAAATTCAAATTTACAATCGGAAGTAGGTACGAAAGTTGGCTACGTACTTCCGTAATTCGAAACGTAGTTCCCAATTTGCTAACGTACTTCGCAACTCGGCGCGAAAAAGTAATCTGAAATTTACGGTAACGACAATTAGCTTTTAGGTTGATTACCAAGCGCATGCATGCGGTCGACTTGGTTATCAATCAGAGAACTCATCGCCGAAGAGGATATATTTCCTTCATTTATTTCATTTCATTAAATGAAAATAGTATTCCCGCGGGCAGAGATTTTTGATATCTATTTACAGGGATGGTTATTAAAAGATTAAAATACAAGAATTTAACATACAACAAGACGCCTGTTCTGGCGTTTACTCCAGCGTGCCGCGCACGTGCCAGTCTTCAATATAAAGCTTCTCAACATAAACACTACAGTTCATACTCATTTAGATGCCTTGCGAACCTCAATGTTGTTCGATCGCGACATTCAGAAGCACATCCTGCTTTAAAAGGATAATATATTTCTGTATATGTTATATATACTGATATATACCACGATTGTTGATATAACACTCTTGCTACGGCTGTAGCTATTTTCAAACAAGCTTTTATACAAAGTTCATGGTCAAACATCACAACAAGACTTTGGTGTGTTTATACAAGTGACACAACAAACCTGTTATAATTATAACGGTGCGATTTGCTCGTAAACATTTGACATACATGCAGCCAATAATATTAACTCGCAATCTTTCCTTTCAACACGTTTAAAAGGTAGAGAGTGTTACAACGTCGCTTCTGAATACTTTGTATAACAAGTTTGTAAATTCATGAAGTTTTGTGAAAGCAACAAGTCTATTCTCATAATTGTTTACATCAAATACTTTGTACTCTACGCTATAGAGAGATTACTTGGTTTAAAATTCAGGAAGTTCGTTCGCAAATAGCCACTTTAGACTTGCATGATGTGTTTGCACATTACAGGCGATGACGAAATGATTAAACAGGCAGATTTATGGTTTTATTATTTGATAATTAAGAAAATGTATAAAAAAGCGATTAATACACTCCGTTAACCTACACAGGAATCGATATAAGTAACTTCATAATTACCAATACAATATGATACGATAATTCAGTTTTAACCCTACCTCCTCCGCAGGCGCTAGGGAGCATTTCGGGCGATTTTGGCATTTCGGGCGATTTTGGAAAATGCGGGTTACAAGCGGGAGCGCCTGCCAACTAACGTTTTCAAGATGGCGGATGCCATAAATCGAAGGTCATATAATCGGCAAGAAAAGCAATTTATTGAGGAAGGCTACTGTGATAGACTTTTTCAAAAAGCGAAAGAGAGCGGGAAAGTTATTTGTGTTCACTGTTATGAGGCTGACGGCAGTATTAAATTCTTTTCATCGGCTGGAGTGGACGTTCATTACAGGCGTGCTCACAAACGGTGTTGTTTCAAAGAGGAAAATTCTCTAAAACTGTTTACTGCGTTACATTTCGAAGAGAGCAAGCTTTTCATAAATGAGTTATCTGCGTTTAGATCACGTAACAGTCTTGGGTTAAATTTGTTTGAGGAATACGAGGTTAAAACGGAACATTTACGCACAAGTATTTACAGCACGTGTAAGAAAGAAGCTGCGAAACTTGCTGGATTAGTCTTATCTCACGGAAACTACGTAAATCCATCGTTAACAAATGGCTATCCTTTAAGCGTGATCAAAGTAGGAGATGCGCAAGATTTTGAAGAGAAATTCCTTGTTTGGAAGGCCTCTTCTAAGATATATGTTGAATCTGTTTATTACAGAGAGGTAAGTAATGCAATTTCTATGATGCAATTATTGCAATATACAGTATGGCTAAAATGTATTTTCTGTGGGCCTCTAGATGCCACTTAAATGCTTTGATGAGCTACCTTTGCAAGACATGATTTTGAATAAGGACAATGATTATCATCAACCAGTCGAAGGACAAAATCCTGATGGAATATTGAAAAATGTATTTGGACATTCTTCATTCAGACCAGGACAGAAGGAAGCAATGAATGCTGTGTTACAACAAAAAGATGCAGTTGTTGTCATCCCTACTGGTGGTGGAAAAACAGTAATTTACACAATCCCAACTTTACTTATGCCTGGCATAACTGTTGTTGTTTCGCCTTTACTGATGCTAATGCATGATCAGTTGTTAAAACTAAGAGAAAAGGGCATTAACACATGTTACATAAACTCAATGCTAACTAAGGAGAGCCGTGAAGAAGTGATATCAAACTTATGTAGACCAGATAGTGAATATAAAGTACTACTTACCAGTCCAGAAGTGTTAATGAGCCAAACAATGCACACATTGCTCCAGAAGTTGAAATGTGAAGGGCGACTAAACTTTTTTGCAATAGACGAGGCACATTGCATTGACACTTGGGGAGCTGATCTTCGCCCAGAGTACCAGGAGCTTGGTGCTCTAAAAAAGTATGGGGTTCCTATTGTTGCTTTAACTGGAACTGCTACAGCTCTAACAATCGAACAAATTAAAAGTACATTAAAACTTTTAAACCCAGAAGTAATCAAATTGCCATTTGTTAGAGAGAACCTAATATTTGAAGTTTTCCCCAAGAAACCTGGCTTTTCAGCAACACTTAATCAAGTTGTGGAACTAATAAATTCAAGATTCAGTGGTCAGTGTGGAATTGTATATTGTAGTCGCAGGGAAGATACATCTCAGCTATCCTTAGAATTGAAAATAAATGGCATTTCATCGATATATTATCATGGTGGTATTGTGGATCCAGAGATCAAATTGAAGCATGCAAACTTGTGGCTTGATGGAAATGTCAATGTCATGTGTGCAACAAACTCTTTTGGGATGGGCATTGACAAGCAGGATGTGCGCTTTGTAATTCACCTTACTTTTCCAGCAAGTTATGAAGCATATGCTCAGGAGTCAGGGAGAGCTGGTCGAGATGGCATTGATGCACACTGCATTGTGTTTTATAGGTTTGAAGACAGGAACTTTCACCTTCATAACATCACAAAAGCGACACTGCCTGATGCAAGATCAAAACGCCTCAAGTCTCTAAATGAATTTTCGAAATATTTGATGGATAATGTACATTGCCTACAAAAAATTATGGCTGAATACTTTGGGAGCACCTTGGAAGGAAAATGTGGGAAATGTGGGAACTGTCTTAACCCTGTTATTCCAGTAAAAGAAGATTGTACTTTGCATGCAAAGCAGCTTATAACTTGTCTGCAACACATGCAATCATTGAAAGACAAAGTAAGTGTTAATGAATTGGGATCAACATATATTGGCTCCAAATCAGCAGCTGTGAAAAGTCAAATGTTTGATCAGGTACCAGAGTATGGTAAAGGAAAGGGTCATTTTAAAACTGTTGGTCATCTTACATGTTTCATAAACCATTTAATAATTAGCAATATATTTACAGAGAATTTAAGAGATGAACATGATAAGCTAAAGTCAACATACTTATCTGTAGGCAATATTCGTGAAATTTTAAGTGAAAACATTAATGTTATGTTCTAGTTTGCATTTTACACATTTGTACATAAGTTGTAAATATTGGAAATATTATGTGATAACCACTTGTTTTGCATTTGTGTCATACCTGCTTTAATATATTTGTATACTTTGAAAACATTATCAGATACAGAAAATTTGAAAAAGGTTAATCAAACTAAAAGTTGTATGTTGTGGTTAAAGTACATTTTTGAACAGAAGTAAAGTACATTATCATTTTCCTGTTTACCGTATGTACAACGTGTATACACAACAAGTATGCCCTTTTGAATTTCAGTGAACTGAAAAGGGTGGCTCAGCAATGACCTATATTATTCCACAACTTAGGCGAAATAGAACATTAATTGCATAAAAGCACAAGGTCATATGTCATTAGCCATAATTCCTATGGCTAAGTTGAAAGGGTCTACTTTTCTGGAGACTGGAGACTGGTTTTGGAAAGGATCAACTCTACATATGCCATAAATTTATGCTCGTCGGTCAAACTCTTCCTCAAAGTGAACGTCAAACTCATCATCAAACTCATCGTCAACTAAAATACTGTATCGTAAGTCTGGAAAGCAGTTGTATAGTTTCGTTTTAAAGTTACCTTTTATTTTGTCCACGCCCTTCTCGTACGAGCTTACAACCCCAGTTGAGATCTTTCCCTCGAAATGTCCTTTCTTTCCTAAAGGAATAGCGTGTACATCTTTTCTACCTTTTATTGCAAAGAAGTGCTTCGATAGACAAACCCATGCAGCTTTTAGTTGGTCCGGGAAGGGACTTTGAACGGAGTGACGTGTTGTGTGGTGAACATCAAAGCTTTCTCTACTTTTGTACGCTGCTCGACAAGATTTCATAAGGTCGACATTTCCCATAATGCGTTGACACATGTTGACTGTGGTATGCCCACTGATATACATTTTAAGCGGTCGCACCACCTCACTCTCCACATACGCATCCATTTCAATTCCTTTCCCTTTATTCCCAGACAGGTTAACACAGCAGTTATCTTGAAGAACCAGTCTGGTTACTTTAGGCCACTTAGCTGTGAGATTTACAACATGCCTAAAAGTTTCCTGAAAGTAGTTCCGGAATCCTAGTTGTGCATAAACTGGAAGTAGTAGCTTGTAGACGATCTCTCGAGCTTTTCCGTCACCGTACCTTATGCAATCATCATACATCTGCATAAGAGGACCGTAATAGCTGAACGTGCCGGAATGATGTTTAAATACCACATCTTCTGCGCAGCCTTTCTTTAACCATTCCTTAAAACGTGCCAGTATAATATCAGAATGATTACCATTTGCTTTCATCGAACGCGCGAGGTCCGTATTAGATGGGAAAAAAGGTGATTCCTGAAATGTAAGACACGCAGCAATGCAATAGCCAAGGCAAACATCGCGATTTGCTTCCCTTATCTGTAGTAGGAAATTCTCTTGAAATTTCCTGCTTTTAAAGGCTTCTGATGTTAGTTTCTTTCGTTTTAGTACATCGTGGACAATGTAATGAAATCCGGATTTACCATGCTCTTTAAAGAAGGCTTCACACATATACCCCTTATTGTGCATATCTCCGACACATATTCCAGCCCAATGAAAAGAAGAAAAACGTGCCATAGTGGCATTGTTTGTTTTGCAGGTGCCCACATCGCCGACAACTGGAGTAACAACCCCTGGGGCATCCCTACCAAAAATAACTTGATCGGGATTTTGATCTTCACTAAAGTCTTGCTCAGCCGGCATGTGAAAACATAATGTTTTATCAATTGCAGAAATCAAAGTGTTCTCTTCGTCTGAATCATGTTCTTTATCTGCCATAAGGACTAATGCGTCAGCTAGGTGAAGCTTTTCCGCAACATCCTTTGGAGATGGAACACCAGAAAACATTGGACCACTAAATCTTGCGTTTCTATTAATTAAAAACTCTATAATTGGATAGTTTGAATTTATAACAGCTAAATGCAAGGGTGTTAGACCACATCCTTCTTTAATGTTGACGTTGAAGCCACTGTAGACTAAGGCTTTTGCAAGTTGATTATTTTCTTTATCGATGGCAATATGAAGAAACGATCTCTTGAGATGATCTCTATGAACATCCAAGTTTTCTGTTGCCATAACATTAATTAATTCCATGTAGTGTTCTTCTTTGTTTGAAACCAATACCGCCTGAATACGTGAAGCGACGTTATTGTACAATTCCCAAAATGACTGGTTCTCATTTCTGAATCTCCGTTTCTCGCCCTCCAACGTACGAATAACGTTGCTTGTTACCCTAAAGGCGTCCTCGTCAGTTTGTTGACTATCTTGGCCGTTAAAATCGTCGTCATCTTCGTCTTCATTTGTCATATCCGTGCTCTGTCCAATTTCTGATAGATCACTGAATACGACTCCGTCCAAATGTTTTTCTTTATTGCGCAGATGGTTCTCAAACTTGTTCATGTCCGATATATGCATTGATTGAGTACTCAAACATTCATAACGAGATCGGGCAGTATTAACATCAAACGATTTGGTAAGGGTGTCATATGGAAGAAATTCAGGATTTTGTGATGAACAATTCAATTCAAAATCTGTTTCAAATTCTTTAAGTATGGAAGATGTACCTGCTATTGTACCATTATCTTCAAGTGACAAAGGTAATACAAATGCGGACGTCTTTCTCGAACTGTTTGCCATGTCTAGTATACCTTCCACCAATGGAACGTTAATTTTATACCTTTTCTTGGGTTTCAAAAAATTAGATGCTGAAATCCATGCATTGAATTCTGCTTCACTCATGTCTCTAAAACGTTTTGTCGAATTAGGTAAGCAATTGTATGCATTGTCCATAGCAGACAGTAAGTAATAATCCTTATACTTTTCAAAAAGTTTATCGTCTTCATTCTTGGAAGAATACAGTATATCTGAATAAGTAAGTTTCAGGACATCTCTTTGGCTTTGACACATATCTTCCTTGTTACCCATTTTCGTCTTTACTGTCTCCGATAAGAAAGGAATAATAAATGCTCTTCCAGTAAAGTTCCACATGGAAGGTGTGATTTCTTTAAAGATTCTTAAATGCTTACGTTTTCCTTTGTAAATATTTATATTATCCATTAATAATATAATAGCGATATCTGTAGGGGTAATTTCTTTAACATGGGCTTTCATTTTATCCATTCTGTCATCAAGAACATCCATGGCTTTCTTCCAACTCACCGTCAAACCAATGTGATTCAACATACCAACAAACCGTGATCCTGCTCCGTATGATATGCATAGAATTGTAAACAATATTTTGAAGTCGTTTGTAATCTTCTGACTACTGAGACTACAAAGTATTGCGAGTGCATGACTGGCACTATGAACTCGTCTTCCAGTCTGTACGTTTCCACTACTTGAAGTTAACAACAGACATTCGACAATTTCAAAAAGAAGAGGGCAATCTTTAAGTAAAGACGTTGAAAGGTTGGAAAACAACGAACCATCGATTTGAATTTCCGTCTTGGTATTGAGGCCGAGGTTGAGCATTGTTTTAAAGCGGGCTACTTCATCAGAAATATCTCTTTTTAATGTTTCTGACAGTCCAAGAGCTTGGTTCTTTTCCATTAATTTCTCCACTTCGTGCTCATATAGTTTCGCTAAACCATTTGTGAACTTTGAAATATCTCTGTTGATAGCTTTTTGTCGCTCAAACAAAAGTTTCAGATAATTAATATTCCAGTTTTCTTGCGCTTTATCCATTTCCTTTTCCATTTCATTATTAACCGTAGATAGTTCTTGTTCAAGGCGTACAATTGCCTTTTTTAAGTTATCAATTGGCGTGTTCTCATGAAAAACTCTTCGTTCATTATCTGCTTCATGGGAAACAACGCACCTTTTTTTCAAGTTTTCATAAACTATTTCTCTTCCTTTCCCGGACAGTACGCGCCGTGATACTTTGACATCAGGAAACTGTTTTGAGATTGTTTGGGTAAGCACCTTAGCACTGCTAATTGCAAGCGTTTTTAAAATTTCTTCTTGGGTCACAAAATTTTCATCACCAATGACAACTTCATAATGCTCATTTAAAGCTGTAATCAATGAGTATCTTCTCTTCTTAATCTTGAAACCAGAGGGGTGTTCACCAACCACTTCAGTCGAACTTGTAGAAGGTAATAACTCACTGGTTGATTTCTGACTACGAGTTGCTGGTTTCTTGGATGCGGGTTCCCTTTCTTTAGCTGAAGGTGTCAAGGGATGTTTGCCTGAAAGCTTCTCTTTTACAGGTGTGGATTTTTTCGAACTGGCTTCATCTGACAAAATCAGAAAACTAAATAATCAGGTGGCAAAGGCGTAAATTGTATACAACCAACAAAGCTCAAAATATAGCTTCAGTTCACTTAAATTAACATGATACCCGTTCATTTTTTATATTTTTGGTATGAAACAACTGATTGAGACATTTATTCAGAGAGAGAAGCAGATATAATCCTGTTAAATTCTCCACTGCTCAAAGTAAATAAGTTTCATCAAGTCAAAAAGCAGTTTCACACTGAGTAGATAAAGCAGGATTTCCAGTTCACTATTTTGATATGCGTATAGACAGAAATGAAACAAAAAACCTTTTATAATTCATTATTTAATCATCAGTCACAGAAGAAATTATTATTTTTTGAATTAAAATGTCAAGAACAAACATTCCACGCATCCACAAATGGATAATAAGTACATTAGAGGTATTTTGTTCATTTTGAGATTAATATGCACTCATAGCAGCACCCATTACATTTGAGCTCATTAGATTGAAATTAGTAATTTAAAATTATCAAAATTATTAATTTTAATTAATGGTATACTGCATAATATTTTTAGTCTTGAACAGCATGTGAACATCAGTAATTTCATTGGGGTGACTATCCCCTCACCTTTTGTAAAATTGTTAGTTTGTTGGAAGTTTTAGGTTTTGTCATAGTTTTGAAAACAATTGCTACATAAATTCAGAATGTTACTGGACCGTGAGACAATTTACACTGTATGTATTTATCTTGAAGGTAAAATGGGTATACAGATAACCCTGCC